TTTCCATGTTCGATGCCCTATGGTTTGCTGAACACATTTGCTGATAAGCCGCAAAGGTTTTAATTACTATTTTTCTGATAAGGGAACTAAAACGTCATTTTGATGACTATATAGTGTTAGCTCTCTATCACTGATTCGAAATATAGAAAATGTGGCAAAAGCACCTCGAATCTTTAGAAGTCTGGAGAAAATATTAACGTATTGATGACTTATTTGGACCAACTCGGATACTCTAATCTCTCTAAAATCAGTGTGGGAACGAGCACTATGTTTTCTTTCCAGTGATAATTTGCTGACTGAGGCCAGGATCTTTTAAGACGAAAAACCGAGACAAAGGTGCCTAGCTTCCAGAAGTACGGGCAGACGTCAGCTGGTCATTGTGGAACGAAAGGGATGAGGCAGTTGTCATCGTTCCAACAAATGGATTTTATCCAAGATATCCACAATTCTGTGGAGTCAATCGCTTTATTTATGGATAAGCGGTTCGATTAAAGATTTTGTTGAACATTATGTCACTTTTAATGACGTTGTCGGTGACGAACTGCTTGTTGTAGATCGTCGCCTGGCTGGCGCACTGAGTTTACGAACTGTCCAGAGAGTTCACGACAATGGAAAAAATGTATGTTTGTAATTTGCATTCAATTCAACAGCTAAAATAAATGTAAGCACAAAGGATCACTGCATGTGTTGATTAAAATTTATAGCATCTATAGACGAAACAACAAAAATGCTACGTTAACTATTCTCTGGTAGCACTTCGTATTCGCTTAAAGTACAGCCTTGCACTAATAATGTTAACTTTTTATTTGTTGCCTTCTAAACTTTTTTATGGGAGTTACTATGTAAGCATAATGGTGTTGAGATATTTGCAACACTCCGGGCCGCAGGTGTCTGCGTTGGGGAACGAACGCGCTATTGTCCTTTCCGATGAGTAACGCGTTCACCACCACACCATGCAGGTCCTTCGTTTCGCCTTTCTTTCAGCTAGTTTCTATCTACCATTACCATCAGTAATCACTCGTCAACGAAATTGATTTCGAAAGCACAAGTCGGAGTTCAACCTAGTTAATCTGGTGGCGAACGTGTTAGCTCTCGGAAAGGTTGATAGAGTGTTCTATCCCCACCGCAGACACCTTCAGTCCGGAGCTTTGCAAAAATCGCAGTATCACTGCTCATGCACTCATATATCAAACAGTTAATTGTGAATAGTTTTTCATTTTCATACTGAAAATTTTACTACAATATATTTATCACGTAAAAAATTATATTTCACTCCATAATTTGCACTTACTTTTGATTTTATCCTATAATATGAGGGTACAATTTGAAATGGCTTGTATCTGATAGTCGATGGATAAAAAGACATAAGACTGTCGTAAAAAATAGAAATATTAAATGAGAGAAGAATCATTTAAAGTTATCTCTTATTAATTAGTGAGATAAAGTTCTCGGCGTTAAACAATCCCTGAGGGATGCGCCATGGATCCGACTTCATGAAGCATTGTCTGGAGGTGATTGAACGCATATCTGGCCTTTACAATAATTCGCGGTGGCCTCGATGTATCGAGTCAGTGCTGCTATCCTCGCAGACAAGTCTGGTACCAACGTAGCAGACCACTGCGCTAAAGTCACCACAGTTAGCGAGATAGTGTTGAAAATGATAGAATGAGTGGAAAATGAATAAATAGGATAATAATGCAATTCCCTAAGAGACCACAGTCGATTTTTTACGCCAACGGCTTCCATCTAGACGGTTAGCATGATGTGCCGTCTCATCTCATGTCGATAATAGATTAAATCTCATAGAACTACCGTAGTTACATTGTAAGAAGAAGTAAATAATTGCTGGAAAAACCAAAAAATTCTGTAGAGTAATCCTTTTTAAAAGTGAAGTAAATGCTTAAATAAGTAGTTGGAGGGCAATATTTGGCTATGATATCACTGGAAGTGATCAGAAATCTTAGAAAACATCGATTCCTCTGAACGAAGTCTTGTGGTCTCAATGTCAACATCACCTACTAAAGAATATTGTCTTCAAACTTTCGTCTAGTGGCGGAACTGTGAAACTTTTCAGAAATTAATAAAGCGCTTTTAATATCCAGCGCATCGTCGCGCGATTTCCTCTATAACAACCAATTACTTCTTGATGAGCGGAGTATTTGAGGGCACATAGAAAATGAGCTAAAGGATAAAAGGATAAAGCTCTCGGCGTTGATCATTCCTTGAGGGATGCGCCATACATATGACATCATTAACCATCGTTGACAAGTATGGCACCAATTTGCCGACCCCGGAGGGATGAAAGGATAGGTCGGGCTTGGGCGCAGGAATCAACTTCACGTGTGTGTTGTAGCGTGCCTCCGACCACTGCCACGCGTGCTCTTCTAGGGCACGAGAACTTTACAAAACTAAAGGAGTGTTATTCCTTCAGTTTCGTATGTTTATTTGTCCTTTTAAAGTGCTTCTCATATCTAACAACTTTTTATTCCAAACGTATCGAAACATACTGAGAAAAAATAATCTCCACAATTCTTCTAAATTTTTTAACACTCACACTACTCACTTGTGCCATAACGGACGAGATTTCTCTTGCCCAGTGCGTTGTACCACGGAGGTCCTTCATATGAGGGATCTCGAGCCGGTTAGTCGCGAGGTTACGTGGCGGATCCCCAGGTGGCGGACAGGGGGTTAATCGCGGACCAGAAGCGACCTTTGCTCTCCTGAGACCAAGACGCATCCAAGAGATGGACTCCCTGTTTTTGCTGCTCTGATTTGGCACATACTTTCTGAATATGCTAGGCGTATTCATGCATGCGTGTGTTGGTGCGTTCTCGCTTATGCGGTTTGTACTGTACGAGTCAATTCGGCCAAAAGCCTGCAATCAAGTGACAGCGAAGTTTATGGGAGGCGGTTAGGAGTCGCCTCCAGCAAATAAGCTCTATGTCCACTCTAGGAGAGCCTGGCAAGCTATTCTTGAGTATACCCAGCCTCCACATTCAGAGCCCAGTAAGCTATACGTAGGTATCAAAATGATAAACACAGTGAAAAAAAAACGGGCCTCATCCCCCTGACCCCTAAAAGAGCCCCCAATTTCGCAGCGGTGGGTAGGATAAGTACGGAGAAGCTGCTAAAATCTCAGAGCCAATGGAAGCTGGGTGGATTACAAAGAACTATGATGGCGATCCGTACCTACAATGCACGAACACTTGCATCCGAGTCCTCGATAGAAGACTAGCTCATGCAATCAAGAAGGCTAAGGCACGACGACACTGGTCGGGCCGAGATGAGACGATGCCACCCATTCAACTCCGTCTATGACACCGGAGAAGAACTGTTTCTCGGAACATGCGACAGTAGAGGAGTAGGCAATGTCGGCGTTCTCGTCAACACGAGTTTGTCCATGAACAATGATTCATTCGAGCAACTAACACCTAATCAGAGGTCTACGGTTGAAGCGTTCTATATGCACTTGGAAAAGTTCTACAGAGAAGACCACACATTCTTCAAGGTCATCATTGGAGATCTCAACGCCAAGATTGGACCAAGAAGAACGTCTGAAGAACGTCACACTGGGGCTCACGGATTAGAATGGAACGAAGAGAGTGAGCGGCTATCTGAGTTTATCACAGTGATTAAAACCATCCACGGTAGCTCGCAATTCCAGAAGCCCCACCCTCAACGCTGGACGTGGGAGTCTCCCAATGGAGACTATAACGAAATAGACAATATCATATCAAATAGAAGATTTTGCCTGACCGATGTCGCTGTTGCCCCAAAATTCTACACGAGATCAGATCATCCTCTCCTTCGTGGAAGACTCTATTTTGCACGAAGAGGAGAAAAAGCCGTTAAATTCCAAAACTGAAGTAGAACCACCGCAAACTGGGACTTATTCAATTCATTAGTCGGCTGTTGGGAAGATACCGTTGTCGACAACATCGACGAAGAATACGATCGGCTCATTCAACATCTTCACGTTAGCGCTATGAAAGCTGAGAGTTCGAAAGTAACCAAGAGATGCTTGTCTCCAGAAACACTCGAGCTGATACGCCAGCGTGGAATCGCACGAGCTGCAGGCAACCGGGAACTAACGTCTGAGCTTGCAAAACAATGCAGGCAGGCGATAAAAGAAGATCTTAAAGAGAGAAGAGCAGCAGTAATGGCCGAAGTTGCAGAGGCTGGGAAAAACAATCGCAAAGCTCACCGAAGCTTCGCCAATTACAAGACCAAAATGATTGCTATCCGCGCCCAGACGGAACAATTACAGCGTCCAGATAGGCAATGGTGAAAACCATTGGCGAATACTATTCAGATCTCTTCGATAGGCCTTCCGACATATGAAATAAAGGAGGATGGATATGTTGTACCACTGGTTCTCCCTTCCGAAATCCGACATGCCATTTCGTCGGTGAAAAATCGAACAGCATTAGGTCCGGACCGGATAGGACCAAAACACTTAAAGAACCTTCCGCCAGTCCTCGTAAACACACTGGCTCGGCTGTTTTTACGTTACCTATCTGAATGCGAGGTCCTTGCTCAATGGAAGACCAACAGAACCGTGTTATTGTTCAAGAAAGGTGACCTACACGATATTGGCAACTATCGGCCAATCTGCTTGCTGTCTGTCGTCTGCAAACTTTTTACTTGAGTCATCCTGACCGGGATTGGCAGAACACTGGGCGAAGGGTAGCTATGTGAGCAAGGAATGTTTTGAAAAGGGTTTAGTAGGATGGACCGTATCCAGTGTACAAAAGTCCGCTCTGTCCCACTTTCATTGGTTTAAAAAAGGCCTTTGACACAACTGAGATAGAATCGTCGTGGAATCCCTTGATAGCGAGGGAGTCCCTACTCAGAACATATAGATTCTTCGTGAGTTGTATAAAAACTTCGTAGCCAGCATATCACCATCCTACAGCAATATTAACATTGACGTCAAAAGAGGAGTTAGGCAAGGCGACACCATCTCGCCAAAACTATTTACCGCCATCTTCCAGAACGTCATGCGAACATTGGAATGGGATAATATCAAAGTGAAAATCGACGGTCGGCAGTTACACCATCTTCGCTTTGCTGATGACATCGTCCTTGTAACACCAAACATCAGCCAAGCGGAACGAATGCTGGCTGACTTTGACAAAGCCTGTGGTAAGATTGGTCTTCGGTTAAATCTCACTGATACAATATTTATGAGGAACGGATTGGTTTCGTACGCCCTATTCACGTCTAATGGAAAGAACATCTCCGAATGCTCCAGTTACGTTTGTCTAGGTCAAGAAATCAATATAATGAACGACTTAGTTTCAAAGTTGAGCAGAAGGAAACGAGGGATTGGGGACCATTCAAGAGCATCGAAGAAGTAATGAGGAAAACAAATAACACCCGACTCCGTGGTCACCTTTTAGTCTCAACAGTACTTCCTGTCTTAGCGTATGCGTCAGAAACGTGGTCGCTGCTTAAGCAGGATGAAAGATTACCCAGCGTTATTGAACGCGCAGTCGAAAGGACGATGTTAGGAGTTTTAACCCTTTTATTTACTGCCTTTTTCTTTTTAATGGCAGGGTGTGTTGCGAAATATAACTCGTATATAATGCTGAGATATTTGCAAAACTCCGGACCACAGGTGTATGCGGTGGGGAACGAACACGCGCTGTTGTCCTTACCGGGGAGCAGCGCACTTCACCACAGCACTATTCGGGTCCTTTGTTTTGCCTGTTTAGCTATAGTGTTTCTCTAGAGTCCCAAGACTAGTCTGGCCTAAGTCTGCCCCAGGTCGTCGCCACCACAGGCGGTTGCTCCTTTGCCACCATGCGACTAGTTTAACACTAAGATGTTGGTGGATCCTGGCATTGGCTTACACTTAGCTGGGTTTCCTGGTGGAAACGCTGAACTCCTTCTCGGTTTGGGAGACTCTGCCGTGGAGACGAAACCCCCGTTGTACGTCGCAGTCCGACACCCAGAAACACCTCTCAGCCACGATGGGACGGAAAACCGTTGGGAGGTCACCAATTACTTTACTGACTATAATTAATAATTTATTGTTGCTATGACTTATTTACATAAATACCTTTATATTTAATTTATCTAGTTATTACTCTTTGTGTCTGGGTCCTCATAATTCGTGAGGAAGGGCCAGCAAGACGTCCAAGTACCCAAATAATTATTCTAGTCATTCTTCATTGAGCTTGTAAGACGGCGATATAATGTAAAATGGATAAAGCGATAGGTATCGATCTATACCTTATCAATGAACTCTGCATTCGACTCTATTCGTGATATCGGTAGAGATGAATGAATACCTTGCTTATACAATGGCCAACAGTTGTCTGTCGATGTATCAAGTCAGTGTTTTTGTCTTTCCAGTCAAGTCGGCTACTAAATTCATCGAATCCGGAGGTGTTCAGGGATAGATTTGCTGTGGAAACGGGATCGAATCAATCATTATGACTATCGTATGAAACCTGTCACCACTGAGCTACAAATGTCTCCTATGGAGTCACCATACAATAGACATTAAAACTGTGGGATTACGAGATCTTAGGCGATTGTGTGGAAGACATACATACTGAAGGATAAAAAAACTGGTGGTCCTAGTAAGCCAGAAAACAAATATTTCGGACAAAGTAGGTCTAAACACTCATTATTTTTACACGCCCTACTCCAACTAATAGTTTCAACGTCGAACCAAATGTTGAACTGTAGTGTACAGTTTGGAGCTTGACCCATTAAATGGTGACACATTATGCGAAGGAGAATTCGACATTTTCACGTAGAAACTCGGTTAAGGGAAATGTATGGCCGCAGCAAAGTTCCTATTGCAAAGCCTAGAGAGAAGTTCTAGTGCGAGACAGAAACGAATGAAATTTGCTGGTGCGTTCTGGAGTGGGTCGATGATTAATGGGATTACAAACGCATAAAAGGAAGATGAGGAAGCTCCCAACGGGTTCATTGCTCATCACTCGGTCTTCTTCTGCATCATCTATTTTTTCTTTGATTGACTTCGTACGGAAGCATAGTTTATCATATTCTATCTTGATAGATATGCAGCCTTGGAATTGTTTATTTGAACACTCTCGTCTTTTTCTTCGATGACAATCAGGAACGTCTATAGAAGACGTTCATATAGCATGAGGATCGATGCAGAAGATGTTAATAAACTCTTCAGCATAGCAAGGTATCATGACGATTTCAATCACTGAACAGATCCGATGGAACGGAAATGTTTAAAAACTCTTCACCAGTTTGAAAAGCTCAATCACTTATCAGTACGACAAACAATAGCGTTTTTGAAAAAGCTTTCAACTCTTTTAACTTATTACTTACTGCCCACTCCTTTCAGCGGCAGGGAATATATTGCAAAATATAACTTTACTGATGCTGAGATAACTTTCATAATGCTGAGATATTTGCAAAACTCCGGACCGCAGGTCCTGCTGTGGAGAACGAACGCTCAATTATCCTTTCCGGAGAGTAACGCTTTCACCACTACACCATGCGGCTCCCTCGTTCCTTCTGTCTCTCAGCTAGTTCTATCGATCACAGCCATTAGCAATCACCCGTCAACGGGATTGATCTGGGGAGCCCAAATCGGCATTGAACCCAGTTAAGTTGAGGCTATAGTTATAATCACAATCTTAGCCTTTTTATTTACTGCCTATTCCTTTTAATGGCAGGGTAGGCTGCGAAATATAACTTTCGTAATGCTGAGATCTTGTTCTACGCTGACGGGTGATTGTTGATGGCTGTGATCGATAGAGCTAGCTTAGAGAGGCGAAACGAAGGATCAGCATGGTGTGGTGGTGAACGCGTTACTACCCGGAAAGGAAAATAACGCGTTCGTTCCCCACCGCAGACACCTGCGGTCCGGAGTTTTGCAAATATCTCAGCATTATGGAAGTTATATTTCGCAATCTATCACACCATTAAAAAGAATAGGCAGTAAATAAAAAGGTTAAGGTACTGAGATATTTGCAGAACTTGGGACCGCAGACACCTGCCGTCCTGGGTTTTACAAACTCTCAACTCTGTCAGGTTATACGTCTACTTTTTCACTTCTTGTGCTATAATGATTACATATTTACTGTGTTAACTAAAAGATTCATTTTAGATTATGTTTGGTTTATGTCGAAGTGAACAGATTTTCAAATGCGTGTATGAGTGTGTGTATGTGTGCGTATGAATGTGTGTATGTGTGTGTTTGTGTGTGTATGTGTGTTTGTATGTGAATGTGTGTGTGCTTGTGTGTTGGGTATGTATGTGTGTGTATGTGTATGGTGTGTGCGTATGAGCGTGTATATGTGTGTTTGTGTGTATGTGTGCAAAAATTAGAAGTTGGTTACTTGTCACTGGTGAGCAGTTAGATGTACAGAACTATGAACAGGAAGTATATTAGCCTTAAACAGCGTTCGTCGATCGATAAAATGGAAGTTCTTCGATCTGATACGGGAATGATTTTGTCACCACAATGTACGCCAACTTTGACAGGAATGCACTAAACTATATAGTCCCTTGCAAAACGAGCTTAATAGATGTTGAGGTTTCGTAAAGTACTTCAGAAGTTGCTCAACGGTCAAGCCGACCCTTTTCATGGGCTCGTCATCGGTTCTATTCAGTCCAGACGTTTAAAAGTACCGCTATGCATTTGATCATTTTTTCGAAAGACTAGTTGTTTGGTGACGGTTACAAACCCACACCCATAAGGAAACGAGTGTTCGGGACAAATAGGTCCACAATTAGCAGCACCGTGAAAAGGTTATCCGGCCCCAAAAATCTTTGCTCGCTTGGGTTTTCACGGTGGTGCACTGTGTAAAACAATCAAGCAAACCTGAATTACAAAGCGAACATTTCCCGAAAACAAAAGTAGAAAACTGCCTTTATCGATATCCAAGACTGTTTCAGTGTACAGGAATGATTTTGCAACCTAAACACATGTCATAGAAGCTTCTTCTTTTTGATCTTTTAAAAAAATCCATTCACTGAAAATTAAATCATATCTTTCCCAAATGTTCTCTTGCTTCCTTTTTCTTGTTTGTTTGTAGATTTTCAGAGTGTATCATTTACTTTATGACATAGATTTCTCCTAAGATCTAACATCACTTTAATCGTCTTCGTTGTCGTGTTTTGAACGGAAGTGATCAGCAATCCATCGTGTTTTCAGTTGAACTTCTTCTTGAGCTAGGTTGAAGCACATGGCAAGCAATGCCATGCCGAACAAGAGATACACCGAAGTGATCACTAACTTTTCTTGAGAGTCCTTATCGTTACCGACTGACGCTCCGGGAAAACGATCACCAAACCCTGGAAACGGCATGGTTGAATAGATGGAGGGAATCATTGCAACTTTACGACTAACTTACCTATAGTGGTGAGTGAAATATAGCAAAAGTAAAAACTTTCAAGAAATGTCCAACCCTCCCATAGCTTGAAGAGTATCGTGCCTAAAACATAAATCAGCAGTCTGATGTTCTACAAGAAGTAAAAAGGCAATGTTTATTTTATAGCACGAACCGGCAATAAGATACGCAAACATCGTGAGAGCCACCAAAGATAACGGCACGCTAATCTTTTCGAGTTGGGCTTGCGCGGTTTCACGAACCTCTAACTGCTCCATCTCAACACGAGCCGTTAACAGATCCTCTACATCAGGACCACCTGAAATTTCAAGTGATTCTAGGGGAAGAAAAAGAGAAAGAAGAAGAATGGAAAAATGAGAAGAGCAAGAACAACAAGAAGAGCATGGGCAAGAGCAAGAAGAAGGACAAAACATGTGTAAAAGGAAGAAGAAGAATCGGGTCTGATGCTCACCGACAGCGAAGGAATCGATGGACGAATCAGCTTTTACTCGATGAGCTTTTGTAAGACGAGAGACAAGCGAGTTCGCACGACGAATTTTCGCCGCCTTGAAAAACACTTATATCAGCATCTATTCATTTATTATTCACTTCTATTCCTCCTTTCTTCATTACCTTCCTTTTCTTGTGCCAAAGTATTAAACGGAATTTGAGGCGAATCGATTGTGCATAGAGAAATCTGTAAGAAAAAGCAGAATCGATATATGGGGTATTTGATATTTTTGTTGATCATCAGCATCAGTATAGGCAAAAAGTAGATTGTTCTACGTTAAGACACGAAATCTAAAGAAACAGATTTTGGAAAACTGTTTTGGACTTTGAAGAACTTCAATCTTGAAAAAGACCTAAGAAAAATACTTATTAAAGTTTTATATGAAAGTAAAGAGTCTTGAACGCTATCTCGTTGCCTTAACTCCGAAAAATTGTAGGGATACTAAGATTCTAACTACAAAAGCCTAATCCAAACGCCTCGATAGCGATAAACTCTTGTTTACGACGACATTCCTTTTCATGCGAAACATTTCAGACTATTCTAATCTCAAGAGAAAAATCAGAGTAAGAAAAACAAATACCGAAACGCATGTGAAGCATTCTTGTATTGGGAGTTTCGCGCTTGATTCTGGGCTCGTGAGTGTCACTGATCGAGCCCCTGATTCATTTGATTCAATGATGCTGAGATATTTGCAAGACTCCGGACCGCAGATGTATGCGGTGGAGAACGAACACGCGCTGTTGTTCTTACCGGGGAGCAGCGCACTTCACCACCACACCATCCGGGTCCTTCGTTTTGCCTGTCACTCAGCTGGTTCTAGTTATATTTCACAATGTATACCCTGCCGTTAAAAAGAATAGGCAGTAAATAATACGTTCACTTGATTCATTTAAGTTACGAAACTGCTTAGTGATTCCCAGAGCCAAGTTTTCATTAATCTTGGCTTTGAAGAATAAGTCTCTGTCTTCTTTATAGGTACGTAGGAAGGTATTCTTCGAATATTAATTACCACCTATTCACGTTCCTTTTCCTATTCCCATTCCCGAGGCACATTCTTCATTCATACAGAACTCTGCGCAGCTGGACTTCATCAATGAGGGGATTGTTTATAAAGAGCAAGACGGTGAAGGTTTATAAAAAGCTGTTCATCGTGCAGTTAAACTTTAGCTCTTGAGTTCCATCTTTTGGAGTTATGGAAGTGTTTGCTTAAGCAGACTACAAGCCAATTTGATTTTTCCAGGCTCGGAGAAAGCGAAAACAACAGATCGTTAGCAACCGTTGAATAAACTTTATATTAACAACTTCCAGTGTGGTGATCAAGAAAAGAGCAGCTGCCCAGTGAGTTAGTAGAACATAACCGAAGAGGCACTTAATCCCAATTTTGTTAATCTTTCTCCGCCATTACAAAAATGAGATCGTCTGTCAGATTGTCACTCTGTTGTACTAATGGAGCGGAATATGAACGCATAGACGTGGAAGGAACCCTTGACAAACGTCATTAATTTTATGCCTGTTGTTTCATTGTAGATCGCAGCTAGTTCGGTGGTTGAAAGCTGTTCAATGTTCGCAAGCTGTTAATTCGACCATTACTTTAGACTAGCGCCTTACTAATCAAGACTCTGATCCACCTAGCATCGATGCACTTGTACTAAACTTATCTTAAGTCAATCCACTCCCTACAGCCAAGAAAAGCTGTCAGCTGCCTGTGGTAAAGGCTTGAGAACAACTTTGTACGGCTATCCAAGGATGTCAGAGAGAATCGACTCTTCATTCACCTAACGACATTCATGTCGAAGGCCAGAAATCCTTATGCAGCAGTCGAAATCACATGAAAAAATTGGAAGACTTTTGTAGAATGTGAATGGGAAGAAACAAATAGGACGCATGAAATGCTTGGATCCACACACTGTGTAATGTAGGATCGTGTAAGATAAGGCAATAAAACTATTCTATTGCACAGAAGCGAATTGGGGATTAGCCCAATATAAATTATTTTGCCTATGAAGGAACCAAATGAAAACGGGGTTACAATTAATTTTCTGCTTCTCAGTATTTTCCTAGAATTAAGTACTCTAACTTGTTAGAGTGTTTTCAGTAACTCGTACCTGAAGATTTTCGCCATTACATCACCGATATTGGTGAGAAAGAGCAGCATAAGTGGAATTCCTATGATTGCATATAGCATAGTGAGAGTTTTGCCGATATACGTTTTCGCTGAGGTGTTACCGTAGCCTGAAAGCAAAGCGTCTTCCTGAAAGTGATGTGAAGAAGGTGGAAGGTACATGATAGGGGTGATACGGCAGTCACATGAGAACCACAGCCGATTATGTCTATTTAAAGTTTAAAACTGTTTCCACCTCAAGTGACTACGTTATAATTAGGTATAATTTATAGGTTAAATTTCATGCTGTGAATCGCGACTAACTGAACACCCAGAAAAGACTCCTATTTCAATTTACGATAATGAACAAATGATGGAGAAAGAAATATACGCTTGGTTATTGGTTCTATTTCACCTTCGGTCAAATCAAGCCTCCCAGCCCCTCCTATCCCTTTAGAGTCAGATTATTGGTGCATGGCTTTTGTCTGTGAAGACAAAATACTGGTTCGGTACATCGGTAAGACTGTATGTCCCAGAGTTACTGTATATGCCAGAAATTCATTCATTTATCTCCATCTACTTAGTGAAATTGAATACACAGCGAATCTTCTTGGATTGATCAACGCCAAGAGATTTATGCTTTATCACTAGGCTGAGAACTCGCTTAAAATGGTGAGCTTTCATCCTCACCAAATCACTGCCTCGCTGCAACTAGTGGTGTTTTCAGACACCATAATGTTTAGTGTTATAGCTGGAAAGTACGGTGGAACAATGCAAATGAGGCACCAATAGTTGTGATGACGGTAAGTGAGTAAAGGAATGCTCCAGTGAACGTCCATTGCGCGGCTTGTTTGAATTCTTTACCGTCGTAACCTTTCCGAATTGCATGCATGCAGATTTTTTGGAACTTTTTTACCTGAAATATCAGTGATAGCAAGTGTTTTGGCCTAAACGGAATGTATACTCGCCTCTTTGTAAACGGCTGACTTCCACTGATCTTGATTAAGTCGATTCACTCGGAATGTTGCATTCCAGACAACATCGACCGCTCGTCCACGAGCTGCCGTCACTGAAGACTGTATCTGAACATGTATTTCAATGCTTCTGCAATCAATATTACAAAAACTTCTTCAAACTGAAGGAGACGTGTAAATAAGACCAAAAAGAGAGTCCAACCTAGTTGATAGAGGTGCGTTGTAATACACACGTGATTCTACTTGAGCCCTTCTACATGATTGCGCTGGTTACACGAGGGTAGGATAAAAAAATTCTATTCTGCCGAATAATAGCTTTTCATACTAACCTCGTGTCACGAAATCATGCGGAAAATTATTGATTATTCTTACGGAGTTTAATGGAAGTTGGTTCATAAGATTAGACACAACATAAGGGCTCCAAAAGTTATTGTATAAAACAAACACACGTTCAGAGTGAAGGACTTCCGGATCCCTTATGGACTGATCAAATCCGAAAGATGTGTGCTCTTATCCTACATGAGATCATAACAACTGAATGCCCCGATAATCTGATAGAACATCGGACTCTTTCTCCAGGGGGTGATAAGAGATGCTTGGAAGAGTTGTGTTTTCACGACATAGTTTAGCAGCAGTTGAATACAAGAGCATGTGTCTATCTCTTAATCGATGTGTGCTGATAAAGATGACGTTCGTTCATACTCTGGCGAAAACTTTTTTCTTAGTTAACAAAGTTTGAGAAAAACTGCGTAAGAAGTACTCCTAAAAGAGATATTTATATGATATTTGTCTTCTCTTCAATTGTCTTATTTTAGAATATAAGATGAAAAATCTGACTTCCTTTAGTTTAACACTTTTGCAACCCATTAGTTGAAAGAAACTATACGCAATTTGAGGCCCCAGAAGTTTGGGTCAGTACCAAATTTTATTGGCGGATATCGACAAGCGATTTGCCCAAGTTACTATTAAGCTATATTCTCGACAGGGTCCCCAAATTGAACTGGGTGTTAGGAATAATGACGTCAAGTTTTTGAAACTTCATAAGGTCCACATGGAACGTTCATACTAACAGGGCTGGCTGACTTCCTCGATTAACTTCGTACTTTTGCAAAAACAATACCTTAACATGAACTGTGTCCTTCAAGGAACTCACCAAGTTTTACATGCAATGAAATTAAGAATTCGCTTAAGACGTACCTACTTGGATGGAGTCAGAACCCTAATTTTTGAATTCGAGGGAGGCGAACAATGTTATGAAGCTTCCTATTGTTTCGCAAATCATTTGAACAAATTCTGCGTGTCTAAAACTTTTACGATGAAGGAAACTGGGACGTTCACTGTCTCGCATCCGTAATCAAACATGGTCTCCGGATTCGCATGTCCGTTCGACTGTCACTTCAAGACTTGTCTTGTTCCGGACACTTATAGGATTTCTTAGTTCAGCATAGATGGGGTGCTGGACAGGGTAGAGCCAGTGGTCATGGTATGTATGTGTATATATGACACCTGTCACCCCTGCGTTTTCAGCGGCCCGTTAAAAATATCGATGGAAGAAGTGCAGATTTTTTCCATACTTTTATATAATATTAGCCTGTTATCCTAATGGGAGGGCACATTGCGCTTCCATGTGAATTCTGTGCGGTTGGTCTTCACGCGACATACTCAGTGGAAGACTCATAGAAAGCGGTGAGTGTGCAAAGACTCTGTGTTCAATGTGATTGAAATCTTGGTTTAGTTGGTTGGTTTTCCTTGTTTGGTTATGGAGGTGTTTGGCCGAATTGATTGCTGTCAACTTAACTTTTCCAGGTTCTGAGGAAGCGTTTGCTCAACAAGGATACGAAGAATTACTTGTAATATTAGCTTGAGCATGAATTGAATCATAATTATAAAAAGTGTTGAAAAAATATTCAAACAATGGAAAAAATTATGAACTCACCTGCTCCTCATGTGGTCCTTCAACAGCTTGAAATATCACGGCTCCCAACAGCGCATAACCGACTACCTTAAACATAAGATTGATTTTAGAAAGTCTGTGAGGACAAAGAAAATATCGAAAGGACTGGATATTGTTTGTGCATTCCATTTGTTCGGTTCTCTAACGGGCCATGCTACGGTAGATGTTGCTGAGTTGTGTTCGAATCTACAGAGAAGTTAGTTTTGAGATAAGAGGAAACTAACGGGCAATGATGCGATTCCCAATCGGGCACATTCCAACTATCCCTAGGGAAAAATTTATAATTTTGGCACTCGGTTTTGACGTAGTCGTTTCTCAAAAGCATATAGCATAGTATCGATCAAAAACTTGGAAGAAACGACTTCGATGCCTATGTCTATTCTGTAAACATCACTGTTTTGGCGGCTACGACTGCCATAAATCGTATCCAAAAGAGCAGAGAAGGTCAAAAACTCCTGGGAATAGTACAATTTCTTCACGGAGACTTTATTAAACCGACCTCATTTAGATTGTTCAGCTTGCACAAGGTTGTTATATAACTTTTACTCGGCTGACGTTTCGCCTTGTTCGTTTTCTTCGGAATGGATTGATCTCAGCCGATGGTTCACAGTCGTTTGTTCTCGATAGAACAGCAACAGTCAACAACGGTCCTGTATAAAAGGCACCGCCAACTGAGGTCATTTCCTACGAGCAGTGCTCCATTTAAGACGATGAGATTAGATAAGACTATGAGCAACCACACTGTGGAGACGAACGCCTGTGGACGAATCGACTCGGATCAATCTGCGCTAGGGAAGACGAAGACATTAAAACGTCAGCGGAATAAAGAGTTTTTTAAGAAGCCTCGTGTAAGTTGAGTAATCTAAAGAAACATCGATTTCTTTTGAAGATTCCATAACCACTAAGAAAACACGAGACGATTATAAACTGAGAAAAGAAAGAAGGCTGAAGGTGAAGGGACGAATGTGTATATCAGAGATAAAGAATAAAGCGTTAGGTGTTAAGCAACCACTTCAGCGATCTGCCATGCATTGGATTTCATTCGTGGTAATGTGGAGGTGTTTAAATGCATATCTGGCGTTTACAATGACATACAGCGACTTATCGATGCATAAAGTCAGTGTCTTTATCCTCTCTGTTTAGTCTAATAATAACCGGAGCTAAATCAAGAAAGATAGTATGCTTTGCTTAGCTCATGAGGTCGGATTGGATCAATGACCATGTATAGCAGGACACCTCGAACAATTACTATACACACTTCCCTACATGACTCATATCGTGGGAAAAATATGAATCGTATTGATTATTAAAAGAAAAGCGATTACTTTACCAGTACTTATACTCACCAATGCACATAGACCGATGTGTGAGAAGAAGAAAGCGATAATTTTCTTGACGAGATTCACTACCCGGGTGACTTTCGAGCGACGATGACGACGACCCATTTGAGTGTCACGGGTACGGTGTCGCGTCATTCATAAGTACTGAAATGCTTATTCATCTTAATCTAATTCGACGACAAAATCGATACTTGTGGTAGAATCTAATATAGAGCTTAGTGGAAAAAGGAAATAACAATGAACTTAATATGAAATGTATTGGACTTCACAATGAAAGCCGATCATTTTACAAGAACTCGTGAAAAAAAATGAGCTTCGGTTTTGCCAACATCTTCGTATGAATAAAGGATAAAAAGGTAAAGTTCGCGGCGTTTATCAATCCTTGAGAGATGCGCCATGGATCCAACTTCAGTAAGCAACGTTTGGAGGTGATTGAATGCATATCTGGCCTTTGCAATGACTCCCGGTGGCCTACCGATGTATCGAACCAGTGCTGCTATCTTCCCCGACAAGTCTGGTACAAATTTGCCAACCCCGAAGAGATGGAAGGCTTGGTGGGGCCATGGGGACGGAGATCGATTCCAAGTGTGTGTTGCACGGTGCCTACGATCACTGCGCCACAGACGCCCTTTTCGTATGAATAGCGCTGATAATTTCGTAGCGCATAATAATATTCTCCTTTCCAGTAACTAGAGGTTTTTTACATCGGCGAAATTAAATTGTAGTGTTGAAGTTAACGAATTGAAAGTTTGCTCGTTCAAGATTTAAATTGATGGTTAACAAGGTTTCGGGTGATTAAGAGGACACATAGAATGCAGAGGATGCAATAGATTTAGCTCAGCGTCTAATTTGGCAAGCATGCAGTAGATTACATGCGTTGAAATTACTTTGTATTAGTATGAAGTTCTTCGACTTGTCAGAAATCTAAAGTGCTTCATCCCATACGACTAAGGCAAGACCACATCACTGCAAGATGACGAGTTAAGCCCAGTCATTACGTGTTAGAGAGCGATTTTTCTAACCCAATTGTGAGAATAGTGAGAAAATTACCGGATTTAGCACAAAATCAGAAAAAAAAGAATAAGAAGGAAAAAAAGAAGAATAAAATGAAGAGAAAGAGAATCTAGGAAGCGGCATTCATTGCTGTGTCGAAATTCTCTCTAAGGCGGAAATTCTTCTGTTTCTGCATTGGGATTTTCAACTAATGAAATTACGACAAAAAGAAGGATCGGCAAATCAAAGTTTTTATTTCACCTTTTTCTTTAAGAACATTGGGATAAAACTGCCTGTCTGGGAACGACAAACAGACTTTCCTTATACATAGTGGAGACTTTCTTCGTTCACTTGAAGAATTTTTCAGCTGAGGAAAAGGGGACTAGACTAGTGACAAAGACATTCGAGAGAGGAAGCGGGTCCCATGGGTTTTCAAATCGGCGACATGACGTAGTTTTATACGACAACGCTTAAAGCATAAAATATGACCTCAAATACGAAAGTGGTTCTTCTTCACGTAGCACATGCCGTACTTGATCAAAGAATTTTACCGTAGTAGTATTTTGTGAATACCGTATGCAGTTTACCGCATGCCGTACAAAATGACGGTTGCTGGGACGAATGGTACTCCAAGAAGCCTACGTTGCTGACTGCTTCAAATAAAATCAGGATGGTTCTTGTCAGCAATAAAGTAACAAGGTTTTGAGTAGGTATACAACTGTCGTTAACCAGCATGATTCACATCTTTCCACACTAATGGTAGTGAAAATTGACTGCCTTTTCTCAAAGTGGTTAGAGCTTCTAGTTATTTAGACATGCAACAGTTTTTTATCGTTCTTTAAGTAAAACTTCGCCGTTTAAGTCCGACTTGTTTGTTACGGTCACTCGCTGACGAATGAAAGTTTAATCCATCACTAACGATGCTACTCTGGACACCTGATCCACTACGGGTTCAACGAATCGACATCTTCATGAGTAATAGATGATATGGGCGGCATAACTGCAAAGTAATATCGATATTATTGAGATGTGGAACATACATAGATAAAGAATGTGGAGGCCGACACGAATCGACAACGGGGCCATATCGAATCTGGTGGCATCATCCCTCAACGAGCATCGCGCTTAGGCAATTAGACTCAACTGCATTTCAACACACGCAAAGGAAGTTACAGCGTCCCTGCTCGCCCGCGTTTAACACATTCACACGCCAACTGCATTCTAAGCTCGTTGTCAAAGGACACTCACTTCTACGAGTCAAGTATAGATTTCGGGGTTTTGTGCTAATATCTGACTGACTAGCTTGCAATCATCTTAACCGGTCCACCTCCTGAAGAAGACGAGACCGCTGAAACTTCAGTTATTCTGCATAAGCAGTATAGTGGCTACCTCTTGCGTGTAGGAAAGCAGTGAATTGTTGGTCAATGTTGAGACCAATATGAAGTGGTCTTGAGAATTACTTCACCACAACTGTTAGCGAAATCGGCTAACATCCATAAAGGAGTGGCTAACTTTTGTAGTAACGAGGGCAAAGTTATCAACAACAGCACTGTGTTGAAGCCAACTACCGACTTCCAGTCCGATGTTATCTGATTCTAATTTCCGCGTGACGTTCTTCATAGTGGTGTTGAGTGATTTTGAAGAGATATTATCGCCTTTTGCGGTAAATTCTCCTTAAGTCGATGATGATGTCGTTATATAATAGTGAAACTTTGTTCGCTTTTTTTCAAAGTAGTTGCTAAGAATGTTAGTGATCTAAGGAGAAGCCTTGATTTTAGAAACTTTCACGGCTCTTTCTACGACTTGGAAGGTTTTGTATAAGCCAATGTAAACGAGGTAAAACGAGCACATGTACTGCAGCGATACCTCGATGAGTTTCCATACCATGTTGATATGATCCACAATAGTTGAAAGCTTCGTTAAGCCTCACTGTTTGTAACGTTGCCCTCGACAAGTGTTTTGTTAATCCTGTTTAGAACAACAGGTGATGCTTGTAAATGACACCTAATAAGATGGAGAAGTAATCGCCGATGTTGTATTAAACTTCGTCATTGTACATGAACTAGGAGCTTCTTATTCTGCTAGACAACAGGTTGAAAGCCGCTTTAATATGTAGGTTAGGACTGACCACGTGTTCTCCAAATGTTGGTGCTGCGCTTTATTCACCGAAACGATGGCAGGTCTGTCGGTCATCCGAAAGGAAACACCACTGAGACCAACGTAATGACATGCTAGGTGTTAACTGCCTATTGAAAAAATTGAAGAAGTCTTGGATGGTTTTCTCCATTGCCCGTTTGGATGTAGCAACCATCTCTAGTAGAGGATGATTCCCCTGGGCACGTAATTAGTTGAATCCTTGTGGGATTTACACGTAATCGGTTTTAGTCAGCGCTGGATTTTTTTCTCCGAAAATCTTCTATCGCTTCTCTGCAAGCGTTACAGATTAGTCCTAAGGTCGTGATTACTATCGGCCTGTAGAATTTCAATCATGGTTATCAGAATCAGAAATTATGAGATCGGCATCTCTCTGTGTTCTCGGCTCTTTTAAGCACTACTGTTTATTATGATTTCTGAATGCGTCGTTTTCTTGCTCAGTAATCACGAGGTTGTTATACATTTACTTTCACAGAAAAACACAATACAATACAACATAAGCTGACGTTTCGGTAGTATCACCTTCTTGAGAGCCTGGAAGGGTATACTCATTTACAATCTACTAGGCCAAACGCTTCAAGAACACTTGCAAAAGGCAAAAACTCTATGGTAACTACGTGATTAACAGCTTCTCGAAACAGTCATCGCCTTTTTCATGACTTCCACTGAGGAAGGTTAGAACAGCTGATGCACCACTCCACATCAGAAATTGATGCGTAGGTCGCATATGGTTGATGACTGCTCTTGTTAATAGTCAAAATAGGGTTAATAATGCACCAAGAATATCTAGGCTCACCGTACTTGGAGACATGGCCTTACCTGAGAACGCGCTCACTACTATAATAGGGTCTAAGTTTTTCACCATCACAACCATTTTTTCACCATTTCAAAAATAACTGTGCGTAGGAGGACAGGACCGGAGGAGGAGAATAGTGGGCAGGTCAGTGTTGATTTGCAACTCTATTAGGTCTAATGCTAAAGTAACTTTGCGGAGAAAATTCGAAGACCTTTTGAGTAAATCACATAACACAGCTTCAATAGCGCACAGAAACATCGCTAACGAACATCAAACAGATCACAATAGGATAGGTAAGGTGCAAGAAAATTCAAGGCTAACCGTGTTAGGAGGCATAACTCTCCCTGACGGTGCGCGCTCGTTATTAGAATTGGGGCCGAGTTTCTCACCATCTGAACTCATTTATAAGATAACCTTGCGTAGGGTCGCATGTGGATTACATGAACTTCAAGATAGACCCCGCAAAAAAGCTAGAGATGAAGCGCTAAATAGGTGCGAACAATATCAAGTGGGGGCCCTACCAATGGCACCATTTCCCCCGACGTTCTTTAGACAACAAGAGCCCAATAATGATGTTGATGTCAAATTTCGGATGTTTGCGAATGAAACTCTCAAAGTCCTTAATCACTATCGCGCGAAAAAATGCAGCTCAAACCTCACTCCAGTGCAAAGACGTGGTATGCGAGAGGTACGAGAACTGATAAGGTTGAAAACCATAAGACTTTCCGTAAGTGATAAGGGTGGAGAGTTTGTCGTAATTCCTCATCAGTTGGATGTGGAGATAACGAAAAAGCATCTTGAAGATGCTTCACCTTATCGACCATCATGTGAAGAGGAATTCAAAAGTAAATACCGAAAACTAAACCACGAATGGGCCAAAATGGCAAGGGCTGCTGGTTTAAAACCATCAGTTATCTCTCAACTTAAAGTTGACTTACCAACATGCCCCGTCTCGTACTTACTTATAAAAACTCATAAGTTAGTATCCAGCGATGATCTTGCGTCTAACGATCCATCACTATTTAAGGTTAGACCTATTATTAGCTGCGTAGACGGGCCAACGGACAGGATAGCATGGTTTTTAACCCTAATATTTAACCAGTTGTTGAAACACAGTCCAGCCCATCTTACGAATACCCAGATGTTTCTGGATCGTCTACGTACTGCGCAGCCCAACAGCGCGTGCGTGATG